GAGAGAGAGAGAGAGAGAGAGAGAGACGAAACCAAGGGGAGAGGGAGGAGAGGCGGATCGCGTTAGAAGGCGGAGGACCAACACAGCAGGAAGCCACAGGGCACAGGGCGCCGGCGGCAAGGCAATAGACCCAGACAAGTGGCGCGCACCCCTTGCAAAGTTCGTAATTCAGCGAGCCATCGGTCTGGAAGATGGCCGGGCCCAGCTGGGCCTGGCTCGTCTCGAAGTGGTACACCCGATGCAGGTCACGGACGATCTTCACCCGCGAGGCATTGGGATCCGGCCCAAGGGGCATGTCTACAAAGCTGGCCAACGGCGGCAAGAGGGCCGGGTCGACACCCGGAGGCAGGTTGCTCCCGGGGGCGCCCGGAGCAGGGGCCCCCGCGGCTGTGGTGGCCGCTGTCGGGGCCCCGGCAGCACGCGACGAACTGCCCCGCCGCTCCAGCGAGGCAGCCAACGACTCGGCCGGGGTCTGCCGAGCAGTGGCCCACCACTCGAAGAGGACCGGCAGCGGCTCATTCGGGAAGCGAGCCCGCCAAACGGACGACTCCAGTGCCGAGGAGTCCAGCTCCGAGGGGGGAAGGGCACCGGTGGCAGGCAGCCCCGCGGTGGCGGTCGCCGGCTGGAAGAAACAGCCCGTTCGGCCGCACACCTCGCCATAGCACCCGAAGCAGGATGTGTTGGGCCCCGCCGACCCCAGGGGGAAGCCATACGGATTGGACCCGAGCGGCACGGCGTTGAAGCTCATGGCCAGGATGGGACCGGCATTGGCGCGCACGGCATCCGACAGCGAAACCACCGAGGTGGAGAGCGGCGCGCTGGCCACCAGCCCCGAGGCAGACCCGGCCACCAAGCTGCCGGCCGGCACCGAGTCACTGAGCATCAGGCTGCTGCTGGCACCGGAGCTGGCAGCCTGGGCTCCGGGGGTCGGTGACGGGGGGGCCGGCATGGTGTCATAGTCGGAGTGGACATCACCCGGACCCGAGGAGGAGGAGGAGGAGGAGGAGCATGCCGCCGCAGCACCAGCAGCAGCAGCAGCCCCATGACGCATGGACAAGGCCAGGGGCGGCGGCGACGTGGCCATCGGAGACTGCTGTCCGGTGGCCGCGGCCGCGGCCGCGGCCGCGGCAGTGGCGGCCCCCGCGGCATCAACAGCCAGTGGCTTCCGAGAGGGAGGGGGCGCGGTGGTGCTGGCGGCACTTCCGCCACCGGGCAGCGCAACGGACGAGGAGGATGCGGCCGCCAGATGGTCCTCGAGGCTGACTTCCGGAGGCCGAGTGCTTTCGGACACCAGCATCGAGGAGGTCCGAGAGAGGGGATAATCCCGCAAGCGGACATTGTGGAAGATGAAGAGCTCATGACAATGGGTGATGAGCAGCTCACACAGGCGCAGCGAGAAGGAAGCTGCAATCTGATTGCGCTTGAGGCGCTCCTCCACCGAGCCGGACGAAGCGGACTCCAGCGACCGGACGAAGTTCGGCGCAAAGACCACCGCCAGATTCCGCGGATGCATCAGATTGCCGGCCGGACCATCCGCATGCAGGGACACCTTGCGCAGGAAGAGCAGCAGGGCATTCAGCAGATCGCGGTTGGTCGGCGGGAGCAAGGACAAGAGAAGCTGCAGGGCGCTGAAGCGCCGGCGCGCGTCGGTGAGACCTGGAGAGGCGGTGCAGCCGCCGGGAGAGATCCCGACAGAAGGGAAGCCAGCGGGAGAGGGAGCCGGATGAGTGTGGGCAAGTGAAGGGGATGACGCCGGCGGAAGGGGCGCAAGAAACGAGGACAAGGAGCAGGAACAGGAGGCAGCGATGCATGAAGCCGGCAGACGCACACATGGCCTGGACAAAGAGCCCCTGTAGCCGGGGAGTGAGGATTGGGTCGGGCAACTCGCGGATGTACCGCTTCAGGACGGCGGCCACGTCATGCACCTGGAAGCCACCGGCCGTGAAGTCCACCGGCGCCTGGGGGCGCGCGGCGAAAAGCTCAGCCAACTGGTTGGACCGGCGCTGATTGCCGGCCTCACGGAAAAGGCCCCTCGTATGCAGGCCATTCTTCTCCAGGAAGGACAGGCACTGCTCCATCAGGAAGGGAACCCGGAAGTTGGACCCACTCTCCAGGAAATACCAGGCCGGGCACTCGCGGGTATAGGCCTCAAGACAGATGCCGATGGCGCCGTAGCCACCGCCATGGCCACCGCTGCTGGAGGCCCCGTGGCCACCGGCCGCCGGTGGCGACCGGGCCTCATGGATGGAGGGAGACCCGCCGGCCGAAGGCCCAGCTGAGGGGGCCCCCCTTATGGCGCCAGGCCCCGAGCTGGAAGAGCCATGGCTGCTGCCACCACTGCCGCCGCCGCCGCTGCCGCCGCCGCTGCCGCCGCCGCCACCGGAGGAGGAGGACGAGGACGAGGAGGAGGAGGAGGAGGAGGAGGACCCGCTGACCGAGTCACCGTGCTTGTAGAACTTCGGGTGCGAGCCATGGCCACCGCCGCTGCCACTGCTGCCCCCAGGATGGGAGACAGAAGGGGGAGCCGCCGTGGGCCCGGCCATGGAGGGGGCTGCTGCCTTGGGCGGGGGCACAGGGCCAGGCTCCGAGCCAGTCGACGCTGCCCCGGAGGAGGGCTCGCCCGTGTCCGAGGTGGCTCCGGCGGCGGCGGCGGCCGAGGCCGCCACCGGTGCCGCCGAGGCGATCTGCGACACAAGCTCCGAGTCGGCCCCCTGCAGCTCGGACAGGGTAAGAGCCCCGGCTGAGGCGGCTCCCGGCGGCCCGGTACCGGGAATCAGGCATGCCCGAACGACGGCCGCCTCGCCGAGCAACTCCACAATCCGACACTCGGCCAGGCGATTGTAAACCTCCTTTTGCTGTGGCCCAGGGCGAGAGAATGACCGAATGGATGGGGCAGCAAAGGGGGGGGGGGAGGAAGGGAGGAAGCGATCAAACGTGTGAGCACACGGACAGGAAAGCCAGTGAGGGGGTGGTGATCCATACACCGGGTGGTATGGGGAGGGGGAGGGGGAGGGGGGGGGAGAGAGAGAGAGAGAGAGGGCAGTAGAGCAGAACAGAGGGACAAAGAGAGGCAACAAGGGGAGCAGCAGGGCGGCGATGCCTTGGTGGGCAGACGTACCCGGCGGTTCAGTCGGACAAGCAAGTTGTTGCCCATGCCACGGTACACGGAGTTGTATGTCTCCATGGGGATGACGGCACCGAAGTCCGAGAAGAGATTGGCCGCGGCCAGGGAGCTCTCCACCAGGGACCCGGCCCCGGGGCCGGAGAAGGCCGCCGGGGGCGAGGAGGGAGGCATGGATCGCGGCATGGAGGAGCTCAGGGCCGCGCTCAAACTGGAGCAAGAGGTACTGGAGGAGATGGACCCGGCACCGGAGGCGGACGAAGCCGCGGACATGGAGCTGAAGCCGCTGTGCACGGAGCTGGCCGATGAGGTGGACCGAACCATGGCATTGCTGGCGACCGAGCCGGAGTACTGGCTTGACAGGCCGGGCGTGGAATGGATGCCACCAATGGTGCCATCGCTGGCCGTCGACGAGGACAGATGGCCATCCTCACTGTCGGAAGTGGTGGCAATGAGCTCCGAGGAGTCGGTCGTGTCGGACCCGATGTCCGGATCCATGGCCTGGAAGGAGCGGAACTCCGCACTGCGGGCTTGCTCATTGTCGGTGAATGTGTGGGGCGTGTGGAACCACAGGATGAGGGTACGCCCATCGCCGTCGACCAGCGAGCTATCCTTGGTGGGCTTCATGATGCGCACATAGGGCAGGGGGATCTGTGTTTGCGGCGAAAGAGGAGAGAGGATGCCGGGGAGAAGGGCGAGGGGATCCCAGTGAGTCAAGGATGAATGGGTGCGAGCATTAGGGGGGGCCGGGGGGCGGGCGCGGAGCCAGGGCGCGGAGCCAGAGCGCGGGCGTACCTTGTGCTGGGGCCGCGCGCGCAGGCCAGGGTCCATGTACAGCACCGGCCGGGTGTCGAGATAGCGCGAGAGGGCCTGAAAGACCTCGAAGCGGAAGAGGGCCTGCCGCTCGGCCTGCAGGCGGTCCCGGCGGGTGGAATCCAACAGGGCAATGGCCTTGCGCTTGGAAAGGGCATCGGCAATCGCGTCGGTATAGCGCTTCTGGAGCAGCTCCGTGGCGTTGGCCGTGGCGGCCGCCGAGCGGGAGGCCTGTGCCGCGCGTCGGCGGCTGGAGATCGGAGCGGCGGTTTCCTGGGTGGCAACCACTGTGTATGTGTTTGCAGGGCCACGTGTCAGGCGGGAGGCATAAAGATAGACATATATGCATACGTGCACAGAAGCAAGGCGAGGAAGGGGAGGGCGGGGCGGGTGGGCAAACAGAGGCATGCGCACGTTGCTTGATGAGGTCGAGTGGCGACACGCCGTCGATGTTTGGCCGGTTGAGGTACGACCCCTCCAGGACCAGCAGACCAACAATGTCCGGGCTCTAGGGAAAAGGTAGAGAGAGAGAGAGAGAGGGAGAAAGAGAGGAGGAGAAGGAGGCGCACAACCGGATGGCACATCATAGGGTCAGTGCGAGCACGCGGGGTCGGATAAGAGCGAGAGCGAGAGAGAGAGAGAGAGAGAGAGAGAGAGAGAGAGAGAGAAGGCGAGGGGAATAGGAGGGTCGGACCTTGCCATGACTGATGGCCAGGTGGATGGGCAGGTTACGGCCGGCGTCCTGGGCATTGACCGGCGCGTGGCATCGCAGGAGCAAGCGACAAATGTCGAGACGCCCACTCTGCGCGGCCAAATGCAGGGGCGTCTTGCCTGTTGGGTTGGACGCCGCGCGCGCGCGGAGGAGATGGAGATAATCACAGGAGGGGAGGAGCGAAGGCAAATGCAGGAGCGACATGGGTAAGCGGGAGCGCGGCGAGAAAGGGAAGGCACGCGGTGGCACGCACCGTCATAGCGGGGGGCGCTCGGGTCGGCGTGGGCCATCAGCAGCAGCATCACCACCCAATGGTGGCCCCGCTCGCACGCCTTTTCGACATGGCGCAGAAGCCAGAAGAGGAATGACAGGGAACGCATGTGAGTTGGAGATCGTCGGATGCAAGGGGAAAGGCGCCAAAAAGGAAGGAATCCCCATGGGGCACACGCACAACATGGAGGGCTGACGATTGGGACTCGGTGTCGAGAGTGTCAACCCGCCGGCCGGTGCGCACGATCTCCAGCAGGAGGGCTGAGAGGTTGCCATCGGCGGCATGTTGGTGCATCTTTCACAAGCGGCCGGGGTGGGAAGAGGCTCCACTGGGGGGCGCCCCGAGGGGGGGGGGGGGAAGGGGGGCGGGGAGAACGGGACTGCGAGCGGGCTGGGAATGCCAACAGGGGTGGTTCTGTGGTGGATGCTGGATGGAAGAGGACGCTCCGGGAGTCCGGCGACAGAGATCCGGACTTGACGACGATAGGGGGACGGGGGAGGGAGGGGCGGGGGAGGGAACCTCTGCGCGGAGGCGATCAAGGGAAAGGGCAGGCCGTGATCCCGGGAGAGTACACGAGAAGGGAGGCCGGGAGGCACAATGGGACAGTTAGAAGAGGCTGGCCAAGGGGAGACGAGGCCCATGAGGGAAAAGAAAGTTCATATGCGTGTGGACGTACACGTGCGCGTGGCGATGCTGGGACGAAGCACGAAGGGCAGGGGCCCGAAGGAGGGGAGGAGAGAAGCAGATGCCACAAGGGCAAGAGGGGGGAGAGAAAAGGAAGAAGAGGAAGAAGAAGAAGAAGGGGCGACGAGGCGAGGGGGGAGGGGAGGCGGGGGAAGGGGGGCTCGGCGCGAGAAGGGGGGTGCTAACCGCGTGGGGAGGCGGAGCGCCGGTCGCGATGGCCGCACTTCACGGGGAGGGGAATTCCACCAGGCCCAGGCCCAGGCCCAGGCCGAGTGTCCTCGTGTCCGCCGCACAACCACCGAGCGCAAGTGGGGGGGATCTACCGCCGGTGGGAGGCGAAGCCGCCGGGATCGAGCCCCGAGCCTCGCTCCCAAACCCGCCCGTCCCCTTCCCAGCAGTGAATGACACATGTGAGGGCGTTCGGCCCGGGGGGGGCGAGGGGCGCCTTGGCCAGTGTGCTTCCCTGCCCAGCGCCCCTCCCCCCCCCCCCCCCCCCCCCCCCCCGGGGGGGCAGGGGAGGGCTTGCCTGGCCGGGGTCGGGACGTGCTCGGAGGTCCGGGCAGAAGCCCGAATGTGGCCGCAAGGGACGAGAACAAAAAAAAAAAAGGGCCGAAGCACATGGGGCGTGGGAGGGGAGGAGGGGGCGGGGGAAGCCGCCATTGCTTGGTCGGGGAGCCGGGCATCTCCCCGGCGCTCGCGCGGCGTCGCCGGCCGGCGCTCGTTGGGCACGAGGCGGCTCGCTGGCGGGTTAAACAAGAGCCCCCGCGGCCGAGATTGCGTCCCCGGGGCAGGCGGCGTCGGAACGGGCGCTCCCCCATCGGCCCGTCCGTCCGTCCGTCCGCGCGCGCGCGCGGCGCCATGGGTCGTCGGCGACGAATCTAGCAGGGAGCCCTGGGGGGGGTGGGCGCATGTTGGCCGGCAAGTGCGCTCGCTCCCTTCCTCCCAAGAAGGGGCCGTGTATGTGGACGGTCCGGTCCCCCTTCCTCGCCCCCCGGCCCCTGGCCGGCTTTCCCCCGGTCCCGGGGTGGTTGCCGTCGTCGCCACGAGCCGCCTCGGTGCAAGGTGTGGCCCGATCCGCCGACCGCCGGGCCCAGCCGACATTCGGGCGCCGCGAGTGTCGGACCAGGCGACGAGCACGGATCAAGCGGCATCCATGCGCCGGCTCGGGGCCCTGTTGCCGCGCCCCCCGTTCGCCCCGCCCCTGCTGGGCACAGCCGCTCCCGAGGCCGGGGCAAATGTGTGTGCCCAGCCTCAAGCATGCTCCTGGCCGCATGCGTCAAACATCTGCCCCCGATCAACAAAGTGCCGGCGAGCATGCGGCCGGGGCTACGAGCACCGAGACGCAGGGGGCGGGGGGGGGGGGGGGGAGAAGCCCGGGCCACAGTTTGCCCCTCCTTGCGGCCGGGCGCGCCAGGCGCAAAGGCACACCGGCACGCCTGCACGCGGAGCCGCCCCCCCTCCGGAGGACAGGGAGAAGACAAGCACAGAGAGGTCCGGGGGGGGGGGGCCGGGGCGGGGGAATGGCCTAAGCGACACGGCGACCCTTGGTGCGCGCATGCACGCGCAGACGCGAGGGGCTCCCCGGCAGACCCCCCCCCCCCGGTGCCCCCGGCCGCCCACCCGGCCGCCCGCCCAGAGGCACGCACCGGCACCGAGGCCTCGCGGAGGATGATTAAGTGCCCCTGCCGAGGCCGGTCGAGCCCCGGGCCGGCCCTGCTCAACGGCGCGCCTCATCCCACACCGAGACGGCGGGCGGGGGAACTCGTGCGGCGCAGGGGGCGCCCCCCCCCCCCCCCCGGGAATGCTTGTGCCAAGGCTGCCGCGCCCCAGGGCAAGAATGCCACGTTCCCCCGCCCCTCCGGGGAAGGGGCGGGCGGAGCCCCTCTTGCCTCCGCCGAAGAGACAAGGCGGGAGACAGCCACAGAGAGGACCGGGAGAGGCAGGGCAAACACGGGGGTGTGCGGGCGGCCGCGCGGTCCGGCCTCTAGCCGGGGGCGGGGAGGGCCAGGCAGAGGCGGCAACTTTCTCCCCCGAGCCAAGCTGCCACCACGAGGAAGCAGTCCCGTCCCCCCCCCCCCCCCCC